CGATCGAAGACCAGGCAGAACAAAAGGATCTGGACAGGCTGCAGACCTGGTCCAGCAATTTGGGTCCCCGGAGTTCAACCCACCAAGTGCAAAGTCATGAAGATTGGGGAAGGGCAAAGAAGGCCGCAGACGGAGTACAGTCTAGGGGGACAGAGACTACAAACCCCACTCAAGGAAAAAGATCTTGGGGGGAAATATAAACACCAGGCACATCTCCTGAAGCGCCCCATCAACCAAATAAAATGCTGCAGCATATGGGCGCCTAGCAAACCTCAGAACACATTCCGACATCTTAATAAGGAATCATTCAGGACCCTGTACACCGTGTATGTTAGGCCCATATTGGAGTATGCGGCACCAGTTTGGAACCCACACCTAGCCAAGCACGTGAAGAAACTAGAGAAAGTGCAAAGGTTGCAACAAGATAGTCCCAGAGCTAGAGGTATGTCCTACGAGGAGAGGTTAAGGGAAATCAACCTGACGACACTGGAGGACAGGAGAGATAGGGGGACATGATAACGACATACAAAATACTGAGAGGAATTGACAAGATGGACAAAGACAGGATGTTCCAGAGATTGGACACAGTAACAAGGGGACACAGTTGGAAGCTGAAGACACAGATGACGTGAAGCAGGTGGAGGCGGGGTCATAGTGGTACCATCCACTAGTCGAAGTAGGTCTTCGTCCAAAGATTGATGGACTGAACACATCGACTCCAGGTTGAGGGACTGATTACCTCATTCTCCTCCTCTCCTTACGCCTTCCTCTTTGTATTGGACTGATGAAGCCACTGTGTGGCGATACGTTTCCTAAATAAAGATTCCCATATGCTGCATAAGTGTCTCAATCTTCAACTTGTCGGTTTTTCAAACCATTCATCACTACTGTCAGACACTGCAGCATCATGGGATCTTGTTACAAAGAATTCTTCAACACTTGTTCAACCTTTGGACGAAGACCTACTTCGACTAGTGGATGGTTCCACTAGACCCGCCTCCACCTGCTTCACGTCACCTCACTACAGTTATAAGCCACGTTACGGCCCTATGCTGTACATTCTACAAGATTGATGGACTGAACACATCGACTCCAGGTTGAGGGACTGATTACCTCATTCTCCTCCTCTCCTTACGCCTTCCTCTTTGTATTGGACTGATGAAGCCACTGTGTGGCGAAACGTTTCCTAAATAAAGATTCCCATATGCTGCATAAGTGTCTCAATCTTCAACTTGTCGGTTTTTCAAACCATTCATCACGAGTCAAAGGATGTTATGAAGTATTTCTTCAGACACAGAGTTGTCAGGAAGTGGAACAATCTGGACAGTTAGATAGTGTAGGGAGGAGCCATACATAGCTTTAAGACGAGGTATGATAAAGCTCATGGAGCAGGGAGAGAGAGGGGATCTAGTAGCGATCAGTGCAGAGGCGGGGCCAAGAGCTGAGTATCGACCCCTGCAACCGCAAATACGTGAGGACAATTAGGTGAGTACACACACACACACACACACAAGCCACATGGAGATGGAAATCATGTGGAAAAATCCTAGTTTTCCATGTAAGTGTAATGACTTATTTGTAAGATTTGTGAGGGAAACAAACGCACCTTTATGTTAGAGCTCCGCCCGAAATCTTGATTGTAAGGCTAATTAATTGTAAGCCATTAGTAAGCCAGAACTTAGTCTAAGATTGTAGTTTACACAGCTAAGTTATACCAGGAATGTAAATGTAAGATAGCATATGATAATTCGGGTATTAATTCATGAGTCTTAAGCTGCCGGTGTGAGAGTTGGTGACTCACCATTCTCGGGAGAGATGGACATCTGGAAAGTTTCAAGACAAAGAATAACTTTTTCCGGCTTCATAACATAACCCAAGGGAAGCCGTCATTGTCACTCAGGTATTAGGATTTACGCAAATTTGTACTGCGCGGGTATGTTTGTCAACTTACATTGCGAGTCTAGCCATTAGAGTTGGAATTTTGTGGACCTCGCCCAGAGAATTCATCCAGTCGAACCCTGGTAAGCAACAACCTAGTCGGAAGAGGGAATCTTTGAGGAAACGTTTCGCCACACAGTGGCTTCATCAGTCCAATACAAAGAAGAATGGTGAAGATCAAAAAGAGAATGAGGTAATCAGTCCTTCAGCCTGGAGTCAATGTAATCAGTCCATTAATCTTGAAAATAATATAGTATATGCGCGAAGAAGTGGCTTAGATACAGCAGATAATTGAGATGAACCAGTCGTAGGCGATGTTACCTTGGACAAATCATTAGGTGGATTTGTCCAAGGTGACACCGCCTACGACTGGCTCACCTCACCTGTCTGCAGTATATAAGCCCTTTCTTTGCGCATATGCTGTATTCTTTTCATCAATAAAGATTCCCAAGTGTTGCACATGCGTCTAATTTATTAACTTTCCTCTGAACCATTTATCTACAAGTAATTTTCATATAAGGACTAAACATGAAGTGGCTGGTGTTCAGTGGGAATTTAATTGACGAAGAGATTAATTTATATTAACTCATTACAGTTGTGACCGGGTGTGGAAGTGTGAATTGCTCATTACTCTATAATTTGTTCATGATTGTAGCCATGTATAAACGTAAGTAACCATTCTTACAGGATTCATTACCTTTGTAACTTGTGAGTTCATTACCTTTGTACCTAGTTCAGCTATCAAAACTTTGGGGGCCCAGTCCCTGGACCCATTACGTACCTCTGTAATCTGTAAATACCTTTGTAACTTGTCATGATTGTGACTAGGCCTACCTGGAGTTCATTACCTTTGTAAATTGTGAGTTCATTACCTTTGTAAATTGTGAGTTCATTACCTCTGTAACTTGCTCAGCTATCAAAACTTTGGAGTCCAGTCCCTGGACCAATTATGTACCTCTGTAATCTTTTGACTACCGCCCACAGGATGGGTATGGGGTGCATAATGAACATATTAAACTAACTAACTATCGTCAGTCAGGGTAGAGTCTCTCTTTTTGCAACAAATCTAGAAGACATTTCTGATTTCTTTGTTCCCACCAGAGTGTCATCATCCAGGAACCAGATGTCTGGTTCAATATCTAGCCTGACACTGATTTCCATAGCCGCTATGAAGAGAAATGGGACGAGAGGATCCCCTTGCTGGACACCCTCCGATGAAGTAATTTAACATTCTCCAGACAGGAGCATTGATTCTTTGCTGTATCCAGTTGAAACAATGAAGACACTAGGGAAATACTCTTGTACAGATGGTAATACTACGTTTCTTTTCAGAATAATAAATGCATTCTTCAAGGCTAATTTTACCACTGCATTGTCCTCAGGCAGGTTGTTGATATCCTCCCATGCTGCGTGAACCGCTGCTTCGCTGCCTTGAAGGACCCCAAAACCAAGCTGGTCTGGTTGAAGCATCATGGCAGCCTATGTGCGAATACTTCGGACATAGTTTGGAAACGAGACGGCGAAGAGTGTTGTCCACGGGAGTGCGAAGATAAGATTCCGTTCGGATTTTTAACCCCTGAGGGTTAGCCACCCAGGATAATCCAAGAAAGTCAGTGCGTCATCAAGGACTGTCTAACTTATTTCCATTGGGGTCCTTAATCTTGCCCCCAAGATGCGACCCACACCAATCGACTAACACCCAGGTACTTATTTAATGCTAGGTGAATAGGACAACAGGTGTAAAGAAAAGCGTCGAAATGTTACCACCCACCGGGAATCGAACCCGGACCCTCCGTGTGTGAAGTGGGAGCTTTAGCTACCAGGCCACCGAGCCTAAATCCTGCGACTTTATAAACACATCATTAAATCAAACAACCTAAAATGAAAAATAAAGTTAACAAGTATTTCAAAAGCAAAATATGTAAAATTTCAAGAGAAGAAAAGTGTATTTTTTATATTAGTGCTTAATAAAAAAATCTTTTATGGTTTCATCTCTCATTGGTTATAGAAATAATAGGTGAAACCGTGCGTGATAGATGATTTATTTTTTTTTGTGCAGAATAATTCTTTACATATAATTTTCTGACAACGTAGTTTCCAGTTTTCAGTTTTCCAGTTTTCAGTTTTCCAGTTTTCAGTTTTCCAGTTTTCAGTTTTCCAGTTTTCAGTTTTCCAGTTTTCAGTTTTCCAGTTTTCAGTTTTCCAGTTTTCAGTTTTCCAGTTTTCTGGATTCAGAAACTTGCCACATGAGCCTTCAAATATCTTGTTAGTGCTGCAACAACAACATCAACAACAACAGCATATCTCTGCCGGAGAACTTTCTCGTTTATACCACAACAACAACAACAACAACAACAACAACAACAACAACAACAACAACAACAACAACAACAACAACAACAACAACAGCAACAACAATAACAACAACAACAACAACAACAACAACAACAACAATAACAACAACAACAACAACAATAACAACAACAACAACAACAACAACAACAACAACAACAACAACACAACAGCAACAACAATAACAACAACAACAACAACAACAACAATAACAACAACAACAACAACAACAACAACAACAACAACAACAACAACAACAATAACAACAACAACAACAACAACAACAACAACAAACAACAACAACAACAACAACACATAACAACAACAACAACAACAACAACAACAACAACAACAACAACAACAACAACAGCAACAACAACAACAACAACAACAACAACAACAATAACAACAACAACAACAACAACAACAACAACAACAATAATAACAACAACAACAATAACAACAACAACAACAACAACAACAACAACAACAACAACAACAACAACAACAACAACAACAACAATAACAACAACAACAACAACAACAACAATAACAACAACAACAACAACAACAACAACAACAACAACAACAACAACAATAACAACAACAACATCAACAACAACAAATAAACAAGACAAATAATCCCTGCTCGTCAGTAACATCAACTGCACCAACACTGAACTTATATCCAAGGAAAAGAAAAACAGTCAAGCCATTGAACTTTTATTTCTTTAACTACTAAAATAATCTTACCAGTAACTGTAAAATTACTCGATTTTAAGTAATTTAAGTGGAACATTTTTAATTTTTCCAAAAACACGTATTTTTATACTTATTTTATTAGAAGGATATTTAGAGTAGATTACCTGTTCTTTTTCTTGTAAATTTCCAAAGATATATATTATTTTTGTAAAATTCTTATGACTGTATGCAAACATTTTGTACGTAAAGTTGCGTAAGTTGTATTTTATTATCATTTGTTAATTCTATAAAATTCAACGTTTTGGTCAAGGTTCCCGGGTTTTTTCAATACAAAGATTTCGTGACTTCAGAAAGATGTGGATGTGAGCGAAGAGGAGTGTTGACGAGGCGGTCTATGGGATCTGAAGCCTTGGTCTCCTAGGTGATCATGACTTCAGATCCCATTAAACTATTAGCTAGTTTAATGGGAAAGTATTCCAGTTAAAGATTTTTTTTAGTCCAGGTATTCTAGCTTTGTAAGTGAAGAGGTCTGGTATTTATGTATTGTAGGGTCTAGGTGAAAAAGTTTACCGTACACGCGTTCTAGGTGAAGAGTTTTGATGTCCATTTAGTGATGGCGTGGAGCACGCCCTCGACCCACGCCAGCTCTGGACCTCCACTGGCTGTGTGAATAATAATAATAATATAAATTTATTTTCTGCAGTATATAGGTAATGTAGTTTACATGTAATGAAATATTGTTGGGTACGAAAGAAAACCACTAGTGTGCGGTACATTTTGGGTCAGCTGCACTGCTGTACACAACTCTGTTTACACTCTGAATAACTCAGTTTTGTTCACGATCTTCTGCAAGCACACGTCGCACCAGTCTCCCACTCACACATACACTTACCTCTCTATGCAGTGCAATTGAAAAAGTACATCCAAAATTAAAGTGCATGGAAAGGCTTTTATAGTATGTGCTATTCAATTTCCGTTGCACTTTCTTTTATAAGTCACATTTACGCGAAAATGTACTATATAAAAGAGTTACACGAGAGAGCTGACTGTGGAATAACTCTCTTAACTCAAGAAATCGTAATGACACGATTGCAAATATTCCATACCCCCGGCCGGGATTGAACCCGCGGTCATAGAGTCTCAAAACTCCAGCCCGTCGCGTTAGCCACTAGACCAGCTAGCCACAATAAGATTCATCCAACTAGGTATATTTCTACACCATAGGAAAGTTAGCACAGGCACCTCTGTGACCACAAATGCAAGTTTTTACAGACGAATCTCCAGCTAGCATGGCCGTGACGAACTCTAGCTCAAGGCTAGCTGGTCTAGTGGCTAACGCGACGGGCTGGAGTTTTGAGACTCTTTGACAGCGGGTTCAATCCCGGCCGGGGGTATGGTTTATTTGCAATCGTGTCATTACGATTTCTTGAGTCATGTTGACGGCAGTGAAGGGACTTGAGCTAGAGTTCGTCACGGCCACGCTAGCTGGAGATTCGTCTGTAAAAACTTGCATTTGTGGTCACAGAGGTGCCTGTGCTAACTTTCCTATGGTGTAGAAATATACCTAGTTGGATGAATCTTATTGTGGCTAACGCGACGGGCTGGAGTTTTGAGACTCTATGACCGCGGGTTCAATCCCGGCCGGGGGTATGGAATAACTCTCTTACTTTTGCAGTTTTCAGCATATCAACACCGCCACCTCCACTATAATTACTGTTATTATTATTATTATTATTATTATTATTATTATTATTATTATTATTATTATTATTATTATTATTATTATTATTATTATTATAGTTATTACTATTTACAATTAGCTCATGAATTGGTTAGGAAACCAGGATACCCTGTGCAGTTCTTTTTGGAATGTTATTACATAGTGAGTGGACTTGATAATGGTTCAAGACTCATCGAAATATTGTTTAATTTAACTTTCATTTGTGGGAGGCTTGGAAATTGTTCCAGCTGTGGCATGTTGCTTGTTCTTCTTCACCAGCACGGCAGTTATCGTCATTTTTATCACCACTACCACAGTCACCAATATCATGACAACCACTACCATCATCACCACAGTCGTCGCCACCATTGTCAATATCATCATTAATACGAATATCACCAACAGTGTCATTACCATCACCATCACCAATAGCATCACCACTAGTACACCACCTGAGTCCCATCCCAATACCCACCTGCGGAGGAGCTCCTTCCAGTACGTGTGTTGTTACATATGGCATCCAGATCACACTGTTGCAGGTAACCGTAGGTGGCGATGAACTCTTCCCACGTACACCCCAAGTGGCTGGCACACCCATCTAGTGCCACCAAATGCTCGCTCATCGCAAGGCTCACCCACCACCTGGTTGGATAAAACACGTTATGAGTAATGCTTTATTGTCTAGCGAAAGGCATTTTCCAGTCTATGAAGCTATGAGAGTGAATGTAGCCTGAGCTCTACCATTCTTTGGAATCTCGAATTTTTATTTAAAATCCTCAATGCAATGTAGGTGTTGACCATAAAAATAAACTACATTTATTATTATTATTATTATTATTATTATTATTATTATTATTATTATTATTATTATTATTATTAACAGGAATGAAAGACAAGTTTAATCCGTGAAAGGAAAGGGGCTCCGGTTCCTTGAAGAAATAGCAATACTTCAGTTCGACTATTGGAAGACTTGAAACCCTTGCTAGGAAGAAAGTCATACAGATGTGATAATAAAAGTGTATGGTGGTGGTGCTGGAATTATACAAGCGTAAGTGTAGGTAAGTATAGCCAGGAGGAAACTAGTGTAAGTGAAGTAGGAGCTGCAGAAATGGAGCCATAAATGAGAAATTTAGCTGATGGTACTTGAAGATCAGTCAAAGAAAACTGTGGGTAACTCTGTTTTCAAGATAATTGAGGGGTGAAACCTGGCCTGGTGGTCCCGAGAAGTAGGTATCTGGACAGGTTGTCCCAAGACGAGAACTCAAAGTTTTCGTCAAGCAGGAGAACGCGAGTGAGGCTCTTTGAGAGAGGAGACAATATCAGTGAATAGGAAGTAGCAACTTACCCGTCGGCGCCGCAGGAGGAGAGGGTGAAGGCCAGGTTTGTGGCAAAGATGCCGTGTGAAGAGGTGCGCCAGAGACGGTCAGGGTTCTCTTGGTCATGAGTGAGAGGGGCGGAGTCTTTATACAGTCCCAGGCGGGTCATCACCTGTGAGAGAGGACGGATACACCCATAGGAAAATTCTAAGATAGGGGACATTTCCTGAATACTAAAGTAAATCACCCAGAAAACACACTTTTAATACAGTATTTACAGCTGAGTTTCGTGAAGTGTTCTGAGAGGAAAAAGAGCACTATTAATGGGATACAAATTGTGGTATACGAGTGCAAAGATAATGCAAAAATATATAGAGAGCAAAATAGGTTATCGCAGAGCAGGATTAAGATTTCGTAGGCCCCTGAGCTACAAGTTCTGTGAGGGGGGAAGGGAGTGATATTTTCAATAGGAAAAAAAAATAATCACAACAGTCAACAGTTCATCCTGTACGTATGTAATAACATACAATAACTATAAACTTATAGAGTATGTAATAACACATTGTGGCGGAGGCCCCTGGAGGCCCCTGAAGGCCCCTGGAGGCCCCTGGAGGCCCCTGGAGGCCCCTGGAGGCCCCTGGAGGCCCATGGAGGCCCCTGGGCTGCAGCCCCGAAAGTCCATACCTTAATCCAGCCCTGGGTTATCGACAAGTGAGCTGTCATATGCAAAAGAGATGAGTTCTGAGATTCATGACGGAGTAAAATTGACATGGCTGAGTAAGATTAGAATAAAGGGACGAGTGAAAATGAGATTCAGGAGCTGGAGACTTACAGGAACCACAGCATCACTGTGTGTGAAGTAGAAGACCCCGCTGGGACCTCCCCGCCCCTCCACCACGGCGCTGAAATATATAGTAACCAAGTTAAAAAAATATACAAGGTGACAAACATTATAGATTACAAAATACGACGAGTAAGACATAACGTTGTTTATCTGAGACAGAATAGTTAAAAAGTGATACATGTAACGTTTTTCTGTACTGGTGAACGAAGGATACTTTAATTCCTTAAATAAGGAATAATGTAAATTCAGAGCATATCTATATACTGAGAGAAATACACTACTTGGTGAAATATACCCTTGGCACTTTTGTGGAGAGTCGTAGATGACAAGAGGCACTACAATACCTGAAGTGCTCAATGAGGTCTTGTATGGGAGGACACGCCATCTCGTAGTTAATGGCGTGACCATAGCCGTTGGTGTAGTAGTAACTGATGTCTTGCCAGTACTCCAGCACCTGTTCGGGAAGGTTCACGTAAATATTACTTTAGCATCAGAAATGAAGCCCATGATATCGGGTACATGCAAGAATAACATTCGTGGATTTTTTTCATGTCTGCATAATAAAGGAAGTGAATTTTTTTTTAACAAATGATTAGCATGTATGAGGAACACGAAGAGCAGCCAGCTCCTCGTTGTGAGTATTTTGGGTGACTGTAGGTAGATAAAAGGTCACGCATAATAGCTGACAGCTTCTCACAGTATATATATTGCCAATGGACTGCTTATACAATGCCATAGATGAAATCTGAGTGAATCCCATTACACAGGCGCTGCGTGAACCCTTAGGGATTATCACTTTTCTTTGCATGAATTAAAATGAGAGATACTCCCGAAGTTGTGACAAGAGACGAAGAAGAGAGAGATACTCACCTTGAGGTCGTCAGGAGTGAGCGCCACGCACCAGGCCGCAGGTGCTAGAGGGTCCCAGGCTTTGTAGAAGCGACAAGCATCATACAACACCTCCAACTCCTCTATTCAGGAACAGGTGTATTATTTTCACATCATTATTGCACTCGTGGGGAATAACGGGGGGAGGGGGAATGGGCTAAGCCCACAGGGAACATACGGAGCTTGAAAATGATGTTCACAACTAACATACAAATTTGAAACGGTTGAGTGGATAGGGACAGGGACTAGAAGTTTGCTCAGTTGACTCTAGTTGAGTCGATTTTGATAAAATTCCACAGCAATATAAATAGACAAGATGGAGTAGATGTGTAATATAGATATACAAAGGTTTCATGCAAAAACACAGATGAATAATTAGAGAAATGAAGGGGGGTTGAATATAGATATAATAGATAGAAGATAGAGAGAGAGAGAGAGAGAGAAAGAGAGAGAGAGAAGAGAGAGAGAGAGAGAAGAGAGAGAGAGAGAGAGAGAGAGAGAGAGAGAGAGAGAGAGAGAGAGAGAGAGAGAGAGAGAGAGAGAGAGAGAGAGAGAGAGAGAGAGAGAGAGAGAGAGAGAGAGAGAGAGAGAGAGAGAGAGAGAGAGAAAGAGAATTGAAGGCTCCTCCGTAATGGTAAACAATGGCAAAAGCCGACAAGTAAGAACAAAGACACTGGAAGCAGATAATCTTTTTAATACGTACATTTAATACAACGTTTTGCCCAAGGCTGGGTTTAATCTAGCCGAACCTTGGGCTGGACTTGATGAGAATCCTCTGCTACCATTGCCTTCATTCTATCTTCCGTGATCTTACCGAGGCCGAGAGGAATGCCGAGGCGTCGGGAGACGTTAGTAGCAACGGCAGCCATCTTTTCTCCCTCCAGATACAGTTGACTCTCTATCGTTGCCTCCGGATTGTCCGCTACTTGCGTCTGGTAGCTGGTGCACACCTCGTAATACTGCAGGAAGAAGGAGTGACTCAGGGAGTTACTCCCACTGTGGGACTTCTTCCTATTAACTTAAGTCTTGTCGAAGCTAATGATTTTGAAAAGAGTGTACAGCTTTTAAGTTTGTAGATGATGTAAGGGTCCAGGGAAAGTAGACCTGTGGAGGGTAATAAACCAAGGAACAATAGAGAGACGGGCAGATTTCTAGGAAAACTAGACAACATAATAATCAAAGTCCTGCGGAAGTAGATGCAGGTGAACTAGAGTTAAAAGAGGCGAGACGTCAGTTTTACAGGTGAGGTTCAGTCATATATTTATTTGTGAAGATATATCATTTGTTACCAGTTGTCAAAAGACACTTGTAGATAGACTGTGTCACTGAAGTCATGGATTGGTGGTAACTCGTTCAAAAAGTAGACAGGAGTGGAATAAAAACCCAGAGAGAAAGCAAACAGGAGCGTCATGGATGAGAAAGTGCAAACAGGAGAGTGATGGACTCAGAAGAGAGCAAATAGTAGTGTCGTGGTTAAGGGAGCGTGATGGATTCAGAGGAGAGCAAACAAAGAGCCTCGTGGCCCAGGTTGAGTTGACCTTACTTTGAGGAGAGGATCTGGGTCGATGGGAGGGGGCATGTACACGTCACTGCCGAAGAGTCCCTGAGCATAGGACCTCGCGCTGGCCTCCGTCCTCTGAGTGGCAGTGTGTCGGAACTGACAAAGAAAAGAGCTAATCTGTAAACTTTTAACTTGATTTGATTGTCAACACACAAACAAATATATTTCTAAAACGTCACAAATATTGAGTTCTAATTTTAAATGCAAATTTAGATGTACTTTTATACTGTATAGAGATTTTTAAGTTGTTGTTTTTGTTTGCAAATAAATTTATATGCATTTTCCATCAAATTGCAGCTGTATTTGTTAGTGAATAAATATAATAACTGAAAGGGATTCAAAGAACACAGTGCAATGACTGGATTCCTGCAAGCAGCTGATATTTACTGGCGTTATACGAGTGGATCAATGACTGTGTCCACTTAACAATATACCTTGAACGATTCGTTTGTGAAAGGTTGATCTAGGAGGAGCGGGATGGCTTCTTTGTACCTGGTGGCGAGGCCTTCTAAGTCTAGGTGTCCCTGAGATGTGAGCACGTTAGCCCAGCTCACGTTGAGATCTCCCAGCGACCAGTCCGCCAGCAGCTTCAAGTCTCCCTCACACAACTCTCCTGGTGGTGAAGAAAAGGAATATGTCGATGGTTCTCTCTTGTGGCAAACCTACTGCTTCAGAACGATGTACCATCTATCTATACGCCGATAACTCACACATGGGAGAGAGAAACTTATGACGACGTTTCGGTCCGACTTGGACCATTTACAAGTCACACTTGCAAATGGTCCAAGTCGGACTGAAACGTAGTGTCGTAAGCTTCCCTCTCCTATGTGCGGGATATTTGTGTATTGTTCCAGTCACAGTATTGTGCCTTTCTGTTCTTATGAGATACCATCTAATATTTGTCTATGCACAGCATCACATATACTATCCAACAACGGGGCAGATATGGTATTCTCCAAGTATTCCTTACATTATGCAACATCACATTGCTGTATACAAGGAATCGTACCCACCTACTTATTGCCTCCTAATATGTGTGTGTGTGTGTGTGTGTGTGTGTGTGTGTGTGTGTGTGTGTGTGTGTGTGTGTGTGTGTGTGTGTGTGTGTGTGTGTGTGTGTGTGTGTGTTTATGTGTGTGTGTGTGTGTGTGTCAGCATAGTTGCTGATCCCCTGCATATGTATATGTCATCTGAGTATCATAGTTAGTACCATCCATATGTTTTACATAGTTGACCCCTTGCTAGGCCCAGTGGCTAGCATGTGTGACGTCACGTAATGCCGCATGTGAACATCAGACGTGCTGTCCCTTTCTCACTCCACGCATAGGTCTACAACAGGCAACAGGGCAGGCTGGGCTCCTCTCTCACACTCTGCTAATATAAGTGTTACCACCCAACAAGTGTGTTTAACTCCAACCATCATATCTCCACGAACCCTCTCAACAAATGGTGGCAGCAGTGAGTGCGGAGATAAACTTCTATAAGCTGATGACGGACATTGTGTGTGTGACCACATGGCGGCTTAGCCTAGCAGCCAGCTACCCCAAGCAAGCGTCCACCAGCCTGTTTGCTTCCTGCTTCCTGGTCAGTCTTTGTGTCTTAGTGTTTTATTTGCTTATTTGCATTACTTCCGAGGGGTTGACCCGGGTTTGCAAATTAAGCCAAACAGCCAAGCCAGTCTGTGGGGGATGGGAGTCAAGCCTTACTCCATCCAGCCTGTCTTAAGTACCAGCCTTGCCTGCTAGCCAGCTTTTCACGCCTGCTGTGCTCATCGTTACAAGTTCTCAAGACAGTCTGTGTGACGGGTTAAGCCAAGCAAGCCAGCCAACTAACCCAGGTGACTAAACCCAGTACTCAAGCAAGCCACGTGAGTTCCAGCCTTCACCATCACTTTGTGCTCCCAGTTCTAGTCATCCTGAGTGCTTATACCATCCCAGTGGTGTTGTGGTAATTTGTGGGTTTTTAAGCCAGCCTGGCTTAGAATATTTTCGTGCCTAGTGTGGGTGTACCCAGAACACGTGGGTTATGCCGCTTATCCAATAGGCCTAGCCACCACGCAGTGTCCCAATGGGCTGCCTCACTCACCCACACCTACCCACCACCATTGTTTTTCACCCTTATATTGGGGTTTAGCACCTTATTTTATGGCTCACATAGCAGGTCAAGACACAAGATTGTTTCATCGTACCTGAGCACCAACGAAAAAAACCTTGCTATGTGGGTTCCTTGAGTTTAAACGCAAATTCTTCGAGACATCGACGTGTTGAGAGTAGTAGAGAATACCGACAGCCACAAGACTCCCCCACCACCACCACCCTCATTTTCCTCTGATGTCGCTCCAGTGATAATCTTTTTACAGAGACATTTGCGAGTGTTGAGACATTTTTTTGTTCTCAGTGATTTCTTAGTGACATTTCTTTTTCAGTGATTTCTTAGTGACATTCAGTGACTTTTAATTAGACTCAGTGTTCATTACATTCTGTCTGCAATATTTTTTCTTCTTTCTTCAGTGTTTAAATTTTCGTGCTTTATTTTTTATATCTGTTGTGTTGTGTTCTTTTTATATATATATATATACTTGAAGTAAGTACTTTAACATTTTTCCCCTGTTGTGTGCAATATATAAACAGTATAAACTTGTGTTTACACTTCACAATTATCGTGTGTTCACAGTACTGTGTTCCTTGCCCAGTAAGTTATGAAGTAAAGTAATTCAGTAACTGTTACCTTATATTCTGCATCACAACTCAGTGTTGTCTCAGTTATTTTTTTTTTTCCCAATATTTGTGTTCTTGCTGAATTTTTTTATTAATTCATTTCCCATTTTACTGTGTGTTGAACATTCTTTTGTGCTAATTCTTTTTATTTAGCCAGTGTCTAATCTGTCCAAATGCTATCCAGGTGTATCCCACCACGAGTGAACCATGGGAAAGAGTTGCCATAGATCTGTTAACCAATTTCCATTGTTCCATCCAAGGTAATAAGCATCTGTGTGTTATGGTAGATCATTTCACCAGATATTGTGAGTTAGTTCCTATTGCAGATAAGACTGCCGAGACTGTAGCTAAAGCTTTCAAGGAGCGTATAATCTGTAGGCATACCACCCCTAAGTCCCTGGTAACAGATAATGGAGGTGAATTCTGTTATGAGATTCTTGAAAACTTGTGTACCTTGTACAAGATCTCTAAATCCACCATTATTCCTCATCATCCTGCCAGCAATGGGGTAGCGGAACGAACCAATAAGAAAGTAATTGATGTCTTGAGAGCCACTATCAATCCCAACAGTGAAACCTGGGGTGAAGTTATACCTGATGTTCAGTGTGCCATAAATTCTGCTTACAATGCTTCGATAGGTGACACTCCACATTATGCTGATGATTTCATAGCAACTCGTACTAGCTTAGCTCAAAGTGTTTTTAGAAGAATCCTTGAGATGCTTCATAAGTCAACAGCAGAATTTACAAGAGTAACTAATAGTCATGGTAAGCCAACCAATGTTAATGTGGGTTCGAGAGTAATGCTGACTAACTTCAACAAAACATCTGCAATGCCTAAGCTCGATCAAAAGTTTGTTGGTCCTTATCGAGTAGCTGAACATATCAATGGCAATAAGTATAAGGTTAGAGAAATTAGTACTCGTCAGTATAGGGAATCACATTTAGATCATATGAAGTTAGTATGTGATGTTGAGGATGATATTTCTACCCAGACTAATGTGACAGACGCTGACAATCCTCCTGACTCTGTACCCTCTACCTCTAACACTTGGTCAGATGATCAACCTAAATGTCGTTATTCTTTGCATACATGACATGATACTTGTAGATACCTGTTCAGATCTCCCTCAGTCAAGGCATGTGTTAGCCATTGCAAAAGAATTCGATCCTCCCAGAGATGATAACCATTCTGCATATGTAAATCTTACCCTCACAGAGTTGGGTTTAAATGTACATAGCCTGCATAATTAGATGTTCAGGTTGAATGAAGTTTTCAACTGAGTGTTTATTATTAGTTGAACAGTTTTCAGAATTTTTTTTTTTTTTGTGTTCACGTTCCCTCCGAACTCTGAGATTTAGCAGTATGATCTGAGCGCGCCTGGTCTGCCTTTGCTGTTAATTACTTTCACCTTTGTAAATATATATTTTCCCTCAGAATCCGTAGAGTGCACGAAAACAGATCAATCGATCAATTCCATCTTTTATTATAATATGATTGTTCCTTTAATTCGTAATGCATTACGTTAACATCCATTATGATACCACCCATTAGTTCTAAGTTACATATGTCTTTGCTATTGTATAGAATCAGCCCTGAGCCACCTGCCTGTTCAGCCTATAGCACAGTATTGTATGTCGAGACGACATACGTAACATGACCGAGCTGTCAGCATAGTTGCTGATCCCCTGTATATGTGTATGTTATCTGAGTATCATAGTACCATCCATATGTTTTACATAGTTGACCCCTTGCTAGGCTCAGTGGCTAGCATGTGTGACGTCACGTGATGTCACATGTGAGCGTCAGATGTGCTGTCCCTTTCTCACTCCATGCATAGGTCTACAACAGGCAACAGGGCAGGCTGGGCTCCTCTCTCACACTCTGCTAATATAAGTGTTACCACCCAACAAGTGTGTTTAACTCCAACAATCATATCTCCACGAACCCTCTCAACATGTGTGTGTGTGTGTGTGTGTGTGTGTGTGTGTGTGTGTGTGTGTGTGTGTGTGTGTGTGTGTGTGTGTATGTGTGTGTGTGTATGTGTAGGTGAAATGTTTGGGAAATACAGACACCTAATTGATGCACATGTGACTTACTCATTTGCCTGTTACATACTGAAGTGGGAAAGTTAGCAGAGGTCACCAACTCAGCTCATCTCCAAGTGTTTACAAAAAAAAAAAAATCACCACAACTAAGTCAGAATGTAGCTCTTGATCTCAACTGTCGTCAGTACAACCGCAAATATCGTAACAGAAAGAATTACAGTTTTTCGTGGAAAATGCTGAATATTAGGGGAAGACGAGGCAAGAACTTTGAGCTCTTCTATTATTATAATTATTATAATCATGGGGGAGCGCTAAACCCGTAGGATTATACAGCGCCTGTGGGGGGATGGAAGGCATTCAGGTTCAATTCAGGGAACTGGAGCACAGATCCAATTCCCTAGATCAAGAGCCCCTCACCAGCATCAAGGAATCTCTCGTGAGGGGCTTGAGCTCTTCACTCCACGTTAGATTCCTCTGTGGACGTTTCAGATGTTTCTGTGGACGAGTGTCAGATTTCTCTCTGACGTGTATCAAGTTTTTCACTGATGGGGTGAAATTTACGTATGCAGAGTGGTCATCATCTCTATAGAGGTCAAATTCTGCGGCAACGGCTAACGCATGCCGTGACGGAGAAAGATTAACATTAACGCTAAAATCTGAAACTTCAGATTCCTCATCACATGTCCTGTACGTAGAGAATAATGACAGTCAGGTTGTACGTCAGTCAAATTGTTAGAGGTAGTACTGGGTCAGAAGGATTGTCAGATTCTGGCTCACTCTTCTGGGTGCCAGGAATCTCATCAACATTTTCGCGTACTAACTTCATATAATCTAAGTACGATTCTTTATACCGAACACTATTAATTTCTCTAACTTATATTTGTTTCCACTTACATGTTCAACTACTCAGTGAGGACCAACAAACTTTTGGTCGAGCTTTGGCACTGCAGATGCTTTATTGAAATTAGTTAGCATAACTCTCGAGCCTACTTTGATTTTGATTGGTTTTGCTCGAGTGTTAGTAACTCTTGTAAATTCTGGTGTTGATTTATGAAGTGTTTCTCTGATTCTTCTAAAGACACTTTGAGCTAAGCTGGTACGAGTCACTACGAAATCATCTGCGTTATAGTTTGGTTTCAGACTGGAATACGACAACTCATACGGCAAACGCTTATCTACACCATACAATACATAATGTGGGGTATCACCTGGCGAGGCATTGTAAGCAGAATTTATGGCACACTGTACATCAGGTATAACTTAACCCCTCGTTGCACTATTGAGGTTAATAGTTCCCCTCACGACGAAAAGCACTTTCCTACTGGCTCTTTCTGCTAACCCATTACTGGCAGGATGATGAAGGTCAATGGTTGACTTAGAGCTCTTGTACAAGGTATACAAGTTTTCAAGAATCTCGTTGCAGAATTTACCTGTTATCTGTTACGAGGGACTTAGGAGTAATATGCCTGCATATTATGCGTTCCTTAAACGTTTTAGCTATTGTCTTAGTAGTCTTATCTGCTATATGAACTAACTCACAGTATCTGGTGAAATGGTCTACCATTATTATACGCAGATGAGTGTTGCCCTGGAGGGAACATTGGAAATTCGTTAACAAATCTAGTGCTACCCTCTCTCAAGGTTCGCTAGTAGTGTGGTACACTTGGATTGGATTTGCGCTGCATGCAAACATTACATTTTTTAACATTCAGAAATATGGGTTGGCATGCGAGGACAAAAGTATTTCGGTCTGGCTTGTTTTACAGAACGATCCATACCAAGGTGTGCAACACCTGAAACACAGAGGTCAGTCTTTATGCAGAAGAAATCGAATCACACCTCATCAAACATGATCTGTTCTTTGGGCATTCTTTTCATCCTATGCACTGACTGGAGGATCTGTTACTACTATACTAATGCGTACAGAATAAGCATTTGTGACTACATTTGATTTGCTGGCAAGTGTTCAAAGGTTGGATTGAACTCTTGAATCGTCAAGGGCCATCTGGCTAATCTTCCACTGGAAACAGGGGAGTGTGATCTGTCAAGACATTGAACAGAATACTGGTATATAATGTCTCGGAAGTTTTTTTTAAAGACTAGACTATTGGTAACACTTCCTTGCTCAGTTACCGTATAACCCAGTTGCAAATGCAACTGGGTTATACTTGCTATCGGTCTTTTTAGCTAGGACGGCACCAATGCCGACGGAACTAACGTCTGTTGTTAGATAAAAAAGTTTCGAAAAATCTGGAAATTTCAAAACAGGAGCAGAAGTTTGCTTTTCTTTTAAAGTTTAGAATGCTGTTTCTTGACAGAAGGTCCAAACGAAAGGAACATCTTTCTTAAGCAACTCAGAGGAGCTGCGCTAGAAGAGAAATTGGCAATAAAAGATCTATATAAATAAGGTCTTGAGGATATTTCTCCAGGAGAGAACCCGCAATAAATGATTCAAATTAGATAAGTTTAGATTTAGAAAGGACATGGGAAAGTATACATTTAGAAATAGGGTAGTTTATAAGGGTCACAGTCTGCCTAGTAGGGTTATTTAAGCTAAAACCTTTCATATTTTGAAAATGAACCTGATAATGTTTTAGAGCAGTAATCCCCAACCTTTTGGTATGAAAGGGCCAGTTTGAAAAAACATATTTAAAAGAGGGCTGCATAATGTAATTTTTGTAATTTTTATGAATAATAGCAATAACATTTTGTAATTGTTAACACTGTGCGGGATGAAAACTACATAAAAAGGAGTTTATAATATCATGTGAGGACCGGATCCATTTCCTAGAAGGGCCGCAGGTTGAGGACCCCTGATTTAGATGATTTTAGTGACCATGATCTTCCTTGGGACTCCCTAAGACACTAACCTAGACCATCCTGGTGAGCGAGGAGGATGCCATCCTGGAGAGTGGGTAGGAGGACAGTGAAGACAATGATGTCATTCTCCGATGGGTAGCGGGTGCCATGCCTCATCAGGTGCCACGCCTGCCGGGCCTCGCACCCTGCCTCACACATGAAAAAGCAAGTTATTAAATAAAAAAGAGCACTGCAGTTGTCTTACAGACTCATCTTGGGCAGATCTAACTCACACCCAATTATTCCCACTTCTGTGTCATTCCAAATCATCTTTAAAACTTCTCATCAAATTTACTTCAGTGACGCTTCTAGGTATTTTGTTCCACTTATCTACAACAACATTCCCTCGTGGGAATATTGTTGTAGATTATTGCTGTAATAAAGTTGGTAGAATTACCGACAATATGTAAAGTAATAGGACACAAGTGCAACTAATGTGACATTTATTGTGGCAACGTTTCGCTCTCCAGGAGCTTTATCAAGCCATTACAAAGAATACATGGACACAGAGGGTATATATAGGATCAGAGTGAGGTGAATACTAGTGAGGTACCATTTCGATGTTCACTAGTGGTAGTAGTAGTAGTAGTAGTAGTAGTAGTAGTGACAAAAATATTACTTTTGTCACTACTACTACTACTACTACTACTACTACCACTAGTGAACATCGAAATGGTACCTCACTAGTATTCACCTCACTCTGAGCCTTTATATACCCTCTGTGTCCATGTATTGTTTGTAATGGCTTGATAAAGCTCCTGGAGAGCGAAACGTTGCCACAATAAATGTCACATTAGTTGCACTTGTGTCCTTTTACTTTACATAGATTATTGCTGTTGGATTAATTTAAATTAATCCAACAGCAATAATGTACAATAATTGCGAGTTCTGCCTTTGCTTGTAAATCTCCAGCAGCTTGTAGATTTTCCTGAATTTACAAACTTTTCAAGGCAGTGTAGGTTAAAGGCTCTCATTTAATTTATGTTTCCTAACTCCTCTAAAATGAATTAGACACATGTGCAACATCTGGGTATCTTGTAGACGTTTCGCTATGCGTGGCTTTATCGATACTATACCTGGAGGTTACTTGGAGGTTATTCCGGGGATCAACGCCCCCGCGGCCCGGTCCATGACCAGGCCTCCCGATGGATCAGGGCCTGATCAACTAGGCTGTTACTGCTGGCCGCACGCAGTCCAACGTACGAGCCACAGCCCGGCTGATCCGGCACTGACTTTAGGTATCTGTCCAGCTCTCTCTTGAAGGCAGCCAGGGGTTCATTGGCAATTCCCCCAATGCTTGATGGGAGGCTGTTGAACAGTTTTGGGCCCCGGACGCTTTGGTGTTTTCTCGTAGTGTACCAAGGGCGCCCCTACTTTTTATTGGCGGCATTTTGCATCGCCTGCCCAGTCTTTTACTTTCGTAGGGAGTGATTTCTGTGTGCAGATTTGGGACCATTCCTTCCAAGATTTTCCAAGTGTAGATTATGATATATCTCTCCCTCCTGCGTTCCAACGAGTACAAGTCAAGTGCTTCCAAGCGTTCCCAGTAGTTAAGGTGCTTGACAGAACTTATACGTGCAGTAAAGGATCTCTGTACACTCTCTAGATCTGCGATTTCACCTGCTTTGAATGGAGATGTACAGCAGTATTCCAGCCTAGAGAGAACAAGTGATTTGAAAAGGATCATCATGGGCTTGGCATCTCTCGTTTTGAAAGTTCTCTTTATCCATCCTATCATTTTCTTTGCACGTGCGATCGTGGCACTGTTGTGATCCTTGAAAGTGAGATCCTCAGACATTACTACTCCCAGGTCCCTTACATTATTTTTCCGCTCTATTGTATGGCCGGAGTCAGTAGTATACCCTGTTCTAGTTATTATCTCCTCCAGTTTTCCATAACGGAGTAGTTGGAATTTGTCCTCATTGAACATCATATTGTTTACCGTTGCCCACTGGAAAACTTTATTTATATCTTCTTGGAGGTTAACCGCGTCCTCAGCAGATGACAGCCTCATGCAGATCCTAGTATCATCCGCAAAGGATGATACGGTGCTGTGGTGTATATCTCTGTTTATGTCTGATATGAGGATAAGGAATAAGATGGGGGCGAGTATTTGTGCCTTGTGGAACAGAGCTCTTCACTATGGCAGCCTCCGATTTAACTCTGTTGAACAATACTCTTTGTGTTCGATTTGTTAGGAAGTTGAAGATCCATCTCCCCACTTTCCCAGTTATTCCTTTAGCACGTTTTTTAGGGGCTATTACGCCATGATCGCATTTGTCAAATGCTTTTGCAAAGTCTGTGTATATTACATCTGCATTCTGATTTTCTTCCAGTGCATCCAAGGCCATATCATAGTGATCCAGTAGTTGTGAGAGGCAGGAGCGACCTGCCCTGAACCCATGTTGCCCTGGATGTGCAGATTTTGGTGAATCCAGGTGATTTGCCAATCCTGCTTCTTAGCACTCTTTCAAAGATTTTTATGATGTGGGACGTTAGAGCTATTGGTCTATAGTTCTTAGCTAATGCTTTGCTGCCACCTTTATGGAGTGGGGCTATATCCGTTGTTTTAAGTGACTGTGGAATTTCACCCATGTCCAAGCTCCTCCTCCATAGTGTACTTAGGGCACGCGAGAGGGGTTTCTTGCAGTTCTTAATGAAAACAGAGTTCCACGAGTCTGGGCCCGGGGCTGAGTGCATAGGCATGTTGTCAATGGCTTTTTCGAAATCTATCGGAGTTAGGGTAATGTCGGAAATCTGGCATACATTTATGGAGTTTTGAGGCTCATTCATGAAGAAATCATTTGGGTCGTCAATCCTCAGACCGATTAGTGGTTCACTAAACACAGAGTCGTACTGGGATTTCAATATTTCACTCATTTCCTTGTTGTCGTCTGTGTAAGTTCCATTCTGTCTGAGTAAGGGCCCGATACTAGATGTGGTGTTTGCCTTGTTTTTGGCATATGAAAAGAAATATTTTGAATTTCTTTCAATTTCACTAATAGCTTTAAGCTCCTCCTGCCTCTCCTGGTTCCTGTAAGAGTCATTTAGCTTAAGTTCGATAGTTTCCACTTCCCTGGTCAGCGCCTCCTTTCGAGTATCAGATATTCTAGCACTCCTGAGGAGCTCAGTGACTCTTCGTCGACTTCTGTAGAGGGAGCGTCTTTTTCTCTCCAGTTTACTCCTGCTCTTCTTCTTTCTTAGGGGAATATGCCTAGAACATGCTTCGGCTACCAGGAAGTTGATCCTTTCAAGGCACTGGTTTGGATCCATGTCATTTAAGACATCTTCCCAACATGTTTCGTTTAGGACATGGTTTACCTGGTCCCAGTTGATGTTCTTGTTGTTGAAATTGTATTTTGTGAAGACACCTTCACAGGTACATGCATTCTGCTGTTCAGGACCCCTATGCATGTACGTCTGGACTTCGATTAGATTGTGATCAGAATTAGTTGTTTTTGATATTCTTATGTCTCTTATCAGGTCCTCATTATTTGTGAAGATAAGGTCAAGTGTGTTTTCTAGTTTTTGTTGGCTCCACTATCTGCTGGCTTAAGGTGTGTTTTTCGCAGAGACTTAGTAGCTCATGTGTGTGTGACCTTTTTATCTGCGCTACCTCGGGGATTGTTTCAGCTATAACATTATTTGCTACATTCTTCCATTTTGTATGGCTTAGGTTGAAATCACCCAAACAGTAAGGTGTTTGGGGATGGAGCTGGAAGGTTTTCCAAACAGTAATCTATTTTCAGTAGCTGTTCCTTGAAAATGTTGGGAGGTTGCATCTGGTGGCTTGTATACAACCACAATGACTAGGTTTTGGTTCTCGATCTTTATTGATAGAACTTCAACTACCTCATTTGTGGTGTTCAGCAACTCCGTGCAGATAAGGGACTCTTTGACATACAGGCCAACCCCCCCTTGTTGCCTGTTTTTTCTGTCGCATCTAAAAAGGTTGTAACCACTTATCCATATTTCACTGTCAAAGTGATCTTTTGTGTGAGTCTCTGTGAAGGCTGCAAACATTGCATTAGACTCCACTAGAAGTCCACTGATAAAAGGTATTTTGTTGTTGGTGGATGGCTTAAGGCCCTGTATATTAGCAAATATGAACTAGGTTGTATTCTGTGTTTGTTGGGGGGATTTTGTTATTGGCATCAGTAGTTGTAATTCTGGAGGGCCATGGGTGGCCACTGGCTGCGCCTCCAGTCCAACAAGGCTCCAAGGTGGTGGACTATTTTTGTTATTTCCTTCCATTTTCTTTTTTCGTTTCCTGCCACTAAAAAATCACCTGGAGTTGGGTTGTCGTAGCTACTATTGTTTGTCTTGTGGGGTCTGTACCTCCTGGTCCCTTTTAGATGGACATAATAGAAATATATACATGTATATTGGTAAAACCACTGGATGGCGAAAGATACCTAGATGTTGCACATGTGTCTAATTCATCATCTTGTCGGTATTGAACACTACTAATATACAACCCCTCTACGGCTATCCTGCAATAAGGAGTTCAGAATTGCATCTCATAATCTAAATGAGGCCTTACCAATAATGTTTAGAGTTGCTGTATAACCTTCAGACGTGTGCTGGTGTTTATTACTTTTCTTAAATAAGAAGCTTCATATTTATCTATCCTGGATTAAGAAGTCCTTTTCATATATGGAATACGTTTATATACTTTCCCAAGAATTAGAACAGTATACATGTCCGAACCGTGCAGTATCCGCCAATGTGCAACAATATTAAATTACTCTGAAGTTCCCTGGTTTGTTCGGATTTTTTTGTTATCTTAATAGTGACAACAATGAAATGGCCTCATGCTATTTCATTGAAGAACTCTCGACACCAGCCACAGGTATGTCACATACGTTGTTTGTGTCAGATTACGAGTAAAGGACAGAAACATTCTCCCTGTGACTAAACCCCAGGTGATCGTACACCGAATACAGCTGCACTAAGTACAGCTGATCTTAGCAGTGTAACAGCTGTACTAAGTACAGCTACCCCAAGCAGTGCTACAGCTGCACTAAGTACAGCTGATCTTAGCAGTGTAACAGCTGCACTAAGTACAGCTACCCCAAGCAGTGCTACAGCTGCACCAAGTACAGCTGATCCTAGCAGTGTCAAAGGTAAACTAAGCACTGTTACAGCTACAACAAGTATCGTTACACAAAGAACCACTACAAATAAATCTGGCGCTGTCAAGGCTACACCAAACAATGTTACAGCTATGGTATTAACCTTGGTAATTGATATTGACAAACTGGTTTCAAACGACACACGAGGAAACGCTAGAAGTAATCAAAATCCCAAGACCGAAACGTTTTCTAATAAATATATCCTAATATATGCTCACCTATAATTTAAAACCAATGTTACGGCTACATATAAACGTAAGTAACCATTCTTACAGAATTCATTACCTTTGTAACTTGTGAGTTCATTACCTTGTACCTAGTTCAGCTATCAAAACTTTGGGGGCCCAGTCCCTGGACCCATTACGTACCTCTGTAATCTGTAAATACCTTTGTAACTTGTCATGATTGAGACCAGACCTACCTGGAGTTCATTACCTTTGTAAATTGTGAGTTCATTACCTTTGTAAATTGTGAGTTCATTACCTTTGTAAATTGTGAGTTCATTACCTCTGTAACTTGTTCAGCTATCAAAACTTTGGAGTCCAGTCCCTGGACCAATTATGTACCTCTGTAATCTTTTGATTACCGCCCACAGGATGGGTATGGGGTGCATAATAAACATATTAAACTAACGGCTACGCCAGCCACTGACCTTCTGGAACAAGGTCCTCATGGGTAAACTCTCCATTAACCAAGGTGTAAGCAGTCTTGGTGGAGAACCTGACGTAGGGGTCAGGGTCATCTGTGAAGCAGTAGGTCTCTGCCCTCTGTCCCTGGACTCTTGGGAGAACACTAGACGTAATCAGAGCCACCACCAGTAGGTAAAGACGATGTCTTAACATGGAAGACGAGGTGAAAACGCTGCGATACCTTTCTCAGTATGTTCCTGTGTAAGATAGCTATTGTGAGGGTCGATATATATATATATATATATATATATATATATATATATATATATATATATATATATATGTATGTATGTATGTATGTATGTATGTATGTATGTTGATGTATGTATGTATGTATGTATGTATGTATGTATATATATATATATATATATATATATATTATATATATATATATATATATATATATATATATATATATATTATATATATTATATATATATTATATATATATATATATATAATAATGTTATCCAACCTTTCGTTATCTAATTTTCTTCCTTGACATACCCTACAAACTCTCTCTCTCTCTCTCGCTATATATATATATATATATATATATATATATATAATATATATTATATATATATATATATATATATATATATATACTACCTATATATATATAGGTACTAGTAGGTTGGTAGACAGCAACCACCCAGGGAAGTACTACCGTCCTGCCAGATGACTGTGAAACAGAAACCTGTAACTATTTTGCATGATGGTAGGATTGCTGGTTTCTTTTTCTGTCTCATAAAACACGCTAGATAACAGGGATATCTTGCTACTCCTACCTACACTTTGGTCACACTTCACAGACACGCACATGCATATATATATATATATATTATATATATATATATATATATATATATATAATATATATATATATATATATATATATATATACATATATACATACATCTAGGTTTTTCCTCCTTTTTTCTAAATAGCTCTTGTTCTTCTTTATTTCTTCTATTGTCCATGGGGAAGTGGAAAAGAATCTTTCCTCCGTAAGCCATGCGTGTCGTATGAGGCGACTAAAATGCCGGGAGCAATGGGCTAGTAACCCATTCTCCTGTAGACATTTACTAAAAAAGAGAAGAAAAACTTTATAAAACTGGGATGCTTGAATGTGCGTGGATGTAGTGCGGATGACAAGAAACAGATGATTGCTGATGTTATGAATGAAAAGAAGTTGGATGTCCTGGCCCTAAGCGAAACAAAGCTGAAGGGGGTAGTGAAGTTTCGGTGGGGAGAAATAAATGGAATTAAATCTGGAGTATCTGAGAGAGTTAGAGCAAAGGAAGGGGTAGCAATAATGTTGAAGGATCAGTTATGGAAGGAGAAAAGAGAATATGAATGTGTAACTTCAAGAATTATGTGGATTAAAGTAAAGGTTGGATGCGAAAAGTGGGTCATAATAAGCGTGTATGCACCTGGAGAAGAGAGGAATGTAGAGGAGAGAGAGAGAGATTTTGGGAGATGTTAAGTGAATGTATAGGAGCCTTTGAACCAAGTGAGAGAGTAATTGTGGTAGGGGACGTGAATGCTAAAGTAGGAGAAACATTTAGAGAGGGTGTGGTAGGTAAGTTTGGAGTGCCATGTGTAAATGATAATGGGAGCCCTTTGATTGAACTTTGTATAGAAATGGGTTTAGTTATAGGTAATACATATTTTAAGAAAAAGAGGATAAATAAGTATACAAGATATAATGTAGGGCGAAATGACAGTAGTTTGTTGGATTATGTATCGGTAGATAAAAGACTGTTGAGTAGACTTCAGGATGTACATGTTTATAGAGGGGCCACAGATATATCAGATCACTTTCTAGTTGTAGCTACACTGAGAGTAAAAGGTAGATGGGATACAAGGAGAATAGAAGCATCAGGAAGAGAGAGGTGAAGGTTTATAAACTAAAAGAGGAGGCAGTTAGGGTAAGATATAAACAGCTATTGGAGGATAGATGGGCTAATGAGAGCATAGGCAATGGGGTCGAAGAGGTATGGGGTAGGTTTAAAAATGTAATGTTAGAGTGTTCAGCAGAAGTTTGTGGTTACAGGAAAGTGGGTGCAGGAGGGAATAGGAGCGATTGGTGGAATGATGATGTGAAGAGAGTAGCAAGGGAGAAAAAATTAGCATATGAGAAGTTTTTACAAAGTAGAAGTGATGCAAGGAGGGAAGAGTACATGGAGAAAAAGAGAGAGGTTAAGAGAGTGGTGAAGCAATGTAAAAAGAGAGCAAATGAGAGAGTGGGTGAGATGTTATCAACAAATTTTGTTGAAAATAAGAAAAAGTTTTGGAGTGAGATTAACAAGTTAAGGAAAGCCTAGAGAACAAATGGATTTGTCAGTTAAAAATAGGAGAGGAGAGTTATTAAATGGAGAGTTAGAGGTATTGGGAAGATGGAGGGAATATTTTGAGGAATTGTTAAATGTTGATGAAGATAGGGAAGCTGTGATTTCGTGTATAGGGCAAGGAGGAATAACATCTTGTAGGAGTGAGGAAGAGCCAGTTGTGAGTGTGGGGGAAGTTCGTGAGGCAGTAGGTAAAATGAAAGGGGGTAAGGCAGCCTGGATTGATGGGATAAAGATAGAAATGTTAAAAGAAGGTGGGGATATAGTTTTGGAGTGGTTTGTGCAATTATTTAATAAATGTATGGAAGAGGGTAAGGTACCTAGGGATTGGCAGAGAGTATGCATAGTTCCTTTGTATAAAGGCAAAGGGGACAAAAGAGAGTGCAAAAATTATAGTGGGATAAGTCTGTTGAGTATATCTGGTAAAGTGTATGGTAGAGTTATTATTGAAAGAATTAAGAGTAAGACGGAAAATAGGATAGCAGATGAACAAGGAGGCTTTAGGAAAGGTAGGGGGTGTGTGTACCAGGTGTTTACAGTGAAACATATAAGTGAACAGTATTTAGATAAGGCTAAAGAGGTCTTTGTGGCATTTATGGATTTGGAAAAGGCGTATGACAGGGTGGATAGGGGGGCAATGTGGCAGATGTCGCAGTTGTATGGTATAGGAGGTAGGTTACTGAAAGCAGTGAAGAGTTTTTACGAGGATAGTGAGGCTCAAGTTAGAGTATGTAGGAAAGAGGGAAATTATTTCCCAGTAAAAGTAGGCCTTAGACAAGGATGTGTGATGTCACTGTGGTTGTTTAATATATTTATAGATGGGGTTCTAAGAGAAGTAAATGCGAGGGTCTTGGCAAGAGGCATGGAGTTAAAAGATAAAGAATCACACATAAAGTGGGAGTTGTCACAGTTGCTCTTTGCTGATGACACTGTGCTCTTGGGAGAGTCTGAAGAGAAGTTGCAGAGATTGGTGGATGAATTTGGTAGGGTATGCAAAAGAAGAAAATTAAAGGTGAATACAGGAAAGAGTAAGGTTATGAGGATAACAAAAAGATTAGGTGATGAAAGATTGGATATCAGATTGGAAGGAGAGAGTATGGAGGAGGTGAATGTATTCAGATATTTGGGAGTGGACGTGTCAGCGGATGGGTCTATGAAAGATGAGGTGAATCATAGAATTGATGAGGGGAAAAGGGTGAATGGTGCACTTAGGAGTCTGTGGAGACAAAGAACTTTGTCCTTGGAGGCAAAGAGGGGAATGTACGAGAGTATAGTTTTACCAACGCTCTTATGTGGGTGTGAAGCATGGGTGATGAATGTTGCAGCGAGGAGAAGTGGAGATGTCATGTCTGAGGGCAATGTGTGGTGTGAATATAATGCAGAGAATTCGTAGTTTGCAAGTTAAGAGGAGGTGCAGGATTACCAAAACTGTTGTCCAGAGGGCTGAGGAAGGGTTGTTGAGGTGGTTCGGACATATAGAGAGAATGGAGCGAAATAGAATGACTTCAAGAGTGTATCAGTCTGTAGCGGAAGGAAGGCGGGGTAGGGGTCGGCCTAGGAAAGGTTGGAGGAAGGGAGTAAAGGAGGTTTTGTGTGCGAGGGGCTTGGACTTCCAGCAGGCATGCGTGAGCGTGTTTGATAGGAGTGAATGAAGACAAATGGTTTTTAATACTTGACGTGCTGTTGAGTGAGAGCAAAGTAACATTTATGAAGGGGTTCAGGGAAACCGGCAGGCCGGACTTGAGTCCTGGAGATGGGAAGTACAGTACCTGCACTCTGAAGGAGGGGTGTTAATGTTGCAGTTTAAAAACTGTAGTGTAAAGCGCCCTTCTGGCAAGACAGTGATGGAGTGAATGATGGTGAAAGTTTTTCTTTTTTGGGCCACCCTGCCTTGGTGGGAATCGGCCAGTGTGATAATAAAAATATTAAAAATATATATATATATATATATATATATATATATATATATATATATATATATATATATATATATATATATATATATATATATATATATATTATATATAATATATATATATATATATATTATATATGAGTTTGTAGGGTATGTCAAAGAAGAAAATTAAAAGTGAATATAGGAAAAAGTAAGGTCATGAGGATAACAAAAAATTAGATAACGAAAAATTGGATAACAGACTGGAGGGAGAAAGTATGGAGGAGGTGAATGTATTCAGATATTTAGGAGTGGATGTGTCAGCAGATTGATCTGCCTGGGAAAGGTTGGCTGGAGGGGGTAAAGGAGGTTTTGTGTGCGAGGGGCTTCGACTTCCAGCAAACTTCATGAGCGTGTTAGATAGGAGCAAATGGATAGGAGCTTTTAGGACTTGACGTACTGTTGGAGTGTAAGCAAAGTAACATTTATGAAGGGATTCAGGGAAACCGGCAGGCCGGACTTGAGTCCTGGAGATGGGAAGTACAATGTCTACACTCGGAAAGAGGGGTGTTAATATGGCAGTTTTATAACTGTTGTGTCACCATGCCTCTGGCAAGACAGTGATGGAGTGAATGATTATGAGAGTTTTTCTTTTTCGGCCCACCCTACCTTGGTGGGAGACGGCCGATGTGTTAAATAAAATAAAAAAAATTTTTAATATTATTTTTTCCCTTTAAAGGGAAAAATGCCTGTAAGGCATTACAGCTGATTTAATTTAAAGGTTTCAGATGGGGGGTGTTTTATAATTTCCGGGGAAATTATAAAATGAGAGTGCTCATTTTCAAACTTACTGAAATGAAAGGGGGAAAGGACTGATGGCGGCTGTACCACCGGGGGGACGTAGAGGGAACGTTTTGACGGGGATGTGCCACCCGGGCGGGAA